ATGCGTTAACTATTAGAAGGGTAGATAACATGCTTATAGGGCCTGTTTAATAAATTCTGCATGTTTTACTTCCACTTAGATAACATGCCTATAGGATCTGTTTAATAAATTCTGCATGTTTTACTTCCACACTTAGATAACATGCCTATAGGATCTGTTTAATAAATTCTACATGTTTTTACTTCCACACTTAGATAACATGCCTATAGAATCTGTTTAATAAACTCTGCATGTTTTACTTCCACACGTACAGCTCGTTTGGATTAGCTGATTTAGATTAGCTGATAAGCATTAGGTGTTGAAAAGCACTTTTAAGAGCTGAAATTGATTTAAAAAATAAGCAGTTACGTGTTTGGATAAATGTGCTGAAATTAATAATAAGCAGCTGAATAATTGGGTATACGAAGAGTTTTGTTTTAAAAAGAAGTATTTTAGGGATAAAATAGTAAATATTTTGGTCAAACCTAAAGTGCTTATAAGCTGAAATTTGATAAGTTGGGGGAGACCAACTTATGGCTTTGGGCTTATAAGCACTTAAATTATAAGCACTTTTAATTTTACCAAATGCGTAGATAAGCCAAAGAGTGCTTATAAGCCAGTTTGACCAGCTTATAAGCTTAGCCAAACACCATCTTAGACATCATGCCTATAGGACCCAAGTCAGCCTTTAATATTTAGATACCATGCTTGTAGGAATTAAAATTAGTTATAATAGAAATCATGTCTATAGGATCTAAAATCAATTTAGTTAAAAATCCGTTTGACTCGTACTGTTCTGAATCAGTTGAAACAACCTACTCCTTTTATTAATACGGTTTAGAAAGCTTGTCTATAGGATCCAAATCACATGTTTAAAATTAACCGCTGCTCTGTTGCACTCCTAATCAGTAATAGATATCATGCTTATAGGACATCACCAATACACACTTACGCAAGCCTTCGGTAATAATGATAAAACTGAATTCGCCTTTGTTAATTAGCAACTGCTACAACCAGCAGGCAGGCCTAATTCAGACTTCTTATCTGAGTTATGTACTAAATTGGTCTGCTTCAACAATTAAAATACCCTGCCTTAGTACTTTAAATTCTGACCCTAATTGTGTTTAAGTCATGCTATTTATGTGCATTGTCTCTGGAGGTATATATGAGCCTCTTAATTATTTATATATTTCCACTAATATGCAGTCCTACGTATTTTGTATGTCGCCTTAGCCTTTTTACCTTTAAAACCCAAGAGTCAACCTAAAATCCTCCCTCTTATAGGAATAGTAGTCCTAAATTCCTCTAGTATTGATAGGAATGGGACGGGTAATAGCATGCAATAGAGGTCGAGACCAATCTGCGCTTTAATACCTTAACGGGATGGGAATGGTAGATATAGATATGATAATCGGTGCACTAATACCACGTGTATTCCCTTTTTTGAGGAGTGTCATACCGGGTATCGCATTGATATGATCTATATTATAAATAAACCTAGGACCCCCTCCTTGTTATATTCTCAAGTATTTGTAGAACTGTAACTCCTTTTCAAAATTCACCTTTTAATAATTGTTTTCAAACTCTTATATGTTCAAACTTAAATCCCCTACTATTTGAGCCTATATTTGTCTGTCTGCTAATTGTACAAAATTCACAAAACTGTCTAGCCGGGAACCACACTTGTGGATCTTGAGGGGTGCCTAACACCTTACCCTTAGGATAATTTCAAGTCCTTACCCTATCTCTGGTTATCAAACAAACTTAGAAATGAACCCTATAGGTGTCCTAATGCACCTTAAATCATTAGGTGACAACTCTTCAAATGCAAACCCAGTTCCCAAAAGGAATGAGTGGTCCTACCCCAAAATATCATAAACCCGATTTTCCAATGCAAAGAGGGAAAAAGGGGTGGGACAAGGTTTATTTACATAATTAAGAAGGAATTAATTTTATTTTTTCAAAATTTGCCCTTATTTACATATTCCAATGTGTTAAGGTAATAACTAATTAATGTTAATTTAGTGAATACATTTTTTTCTTTAGGAGTTCGTATTTCCTTAGCGGGTGTGTCAAAAGTAAAATTATCACTTATTGTGGACCGAAGGGAGTAATGTTTTGATTGTTGAATTTAAGTATTTTCAAGGTATTTTCTTATAATTTTGTGTACCTTGATGTTAGTGAGAAGATTGACGATTATCAAGCAAAACGTACAAAAACCATGCATTGGAGAGCCAAAAAAAGAAATTTAAAAGTTTTTTTTTAGTAAGACTATATACACAGTTTCACGTTCATAGTCTTTTTCCAAAGGTCAAAATTGGTGATACGATCTTTGTTTCATTCGTACAAGCGTTTCACTTTGATTTTCACCTCATAACAAGAGGACAAACAATGGTATAATTCCAAAAGAAGAATAATGACACTTGATTATTAGAAAATTAAATTTTTTTTTTAAAAATAAAGATCGACATCGGCTTTCTAGCTAGAGACAAATGAATAAGTTAAACTAAGAACTCTATTTTTCCCATTAAACAAATCAGAATGCACAAAGGATATTATAAATTATTCTATTTGGCTGAAGTGCCTACTTAATTATGAAACGTCCCAAGAATAATGTAAGTTGGTCTCCCTTTAATGGGGTAGACACAGTAAAATGGGATTGTAGGTGTAAATGTGGATAATTGTTTTTTGTTTTTTTCATAGTGATGATGGAAGCCACTTTCAATATTCAAAATTCAAGATTTTGCGACTTTTTCATATGTGACAAGTGACAACTAATCTTAGAAAGGGATTCAGAATTGAAAAGAAAAGGGACAATAACAGTATTCTGTTTTTAGTCTGTCAAAATATATTGATACCTTTTTTTATAGTTAAGGATTTATTAGCTTTAAATTTATTTTTATTTTTAATGATATATTTTATAATTTATAGCAATAAAAAAATTTGACATGTTCTTCCGCAGAAGTAAGAAAATATTGTTATGTGATTTTTCCCATTATTTAAGGCAATTATCTGATATTTATGCTAGTGAAGATAACATATATCAAGGGTGTAGCTTCCTTTGGTGAATGGGGTTAATTCAATTAAATCTTCTCGTCAGAAAATTATGTTGTAAAAAATAGGAAAAAATAATTTTTTTTATCTATATATAAAATGTTGAATCTTTTTTTACTTAGGTTCGTATCTTAAATGTGATACTTTCACATTTTCTTTAATTCTATTACTCAAATTCTTGGCTTCGCCACTAATATATATCTAATAGAATAGTCGAGACACGCCAATTTTGCTCTGACACCGCCATCACAAAGAAAAATCATGACATATTAAAAATACATGTTTCAAAAAATACTGTTGATACTTACAGATATTTTTAGAACTATATGTCACGTCCTTAGTTGTTAACTAAGTACACATGCGGCACTTGATAACTCGCTCACGATCTTGCACAACTTGCTCTTGCTCACGTTCTTGCTATGTCAAGTCAGCCTTACTACATTCAAGATCGCTAAGAGAATGGAAGAAAGAACATAAGAGAATTGTTAAAGGAAACTTTGTATTAAAGAGAACTTGAATTGTTTGCTTGATGAATTACAAACGAATGACCCCCTTTATATATTAGTCTCCTAGGGGCTAGTGTGTAAATATTAATTATTACACAACTCCTTGATATTTACAAGATAAGGGCTTTTTCTAGAATTCTCTACAAGCCTAGAAGATTCCAAGAACTTTCCTAGCAAATCCATAAGGATCTAGGTTCTTCCTAAGGAAATGTCCATCTCTCTAGAATTTTCTCACAAATGCTAGCCTTCTTCTTATGTAAGCTTCCACATGTCATTAATATATGCCAAATGACGCTTATGTGGCATGATGACATGGCGGTCATCACATATATCTAATTAAACATCTATTAAAAATGTCCCAAGAACAACGTAAGAGCTCCGAGTCAATTACTGGTCACTCAACTTTCTCAAATTATCTCCTAAAGTCACTTTTCTTTCGTTTGTAACAACAAAGTCACTGAACTATGCTATTGTACTCAGAAGATCACTCAACTAGATTTTTCAAATTTTGGATTGCCAAATACCTATTTTATCCTCTNAATTCTGAATTTTGTAAATAAATTTTTGAAGTTTTGTTGTTAATACTAAATCATTATTACTAACAAATTATTCTAATTAACTTTTTTTTACTAAGCTCGTTATTTTATTATTCCAGCATAGTACATGCTTAAATAATTTTTATTTTTTTAATTTATAAATAATATTTATTTATTCTATAGATAAGTCCATAATATAAATTAAATAGGGAAAAACATAATATTAAAAAGTTTAACAAAATAAAAAGAAGATAAATATTTATAATTTAGAGGGTAAAATAAGTATTTGGCAATCCAAAATTTGGAAAATCTAGTTGAGTGACCTTCTGAGTGCAATAGGCATAGTTCAATGACTTTGTTGTTACGAACGAAAGTAAAGTGACTTTAGGAGATAATTTGGGATAGTTGAGTGACCATTTGAGTAATAACTCTAAGAGCTCCCTGTGATGTAATACACAGTAAAATGGGATTAGTGCAAAAGGTCGTTTAATTTTTATTTTTTTCTTCGTCATGATATATAATATGCACTATAAATTCAAGATTTTGTGACTTTTCCCTATGTGACAATTGACAACTAATCTTCTCAAATGGGAACAAGAATTGAAAAGGAAAGGGACAATAGTATTCCCAATATTGTTTCATTTTGCAGGGCCTCTATTATTTTTTATTCATAATGATATGCTTTAATTATAATTATAGCTAGATTAATGCCATGATAAGTTTAAATCACAAATATAATATCGAATCAATCAAACGTAATTAAAGTCTAAGCAAGTATTTAATATTTATAAAAAAATTGATTGTTGATTTTTAAAAGATGGGGTATTTTTTATTTTTTAAAACTTTCGAAATTTCCAAAAGATGAAGAGGAATATCCTGGTAAGCATCATGTTTATTTATAATACCAGCACTCAAAGTGAAAAAGTAAATAAAAAAGGCAAATTTATATGCACAAACAAGTCGAAACATTATTTCTGAGATTGCACCATCAAAAGTTCTAAAAACTAAACTCCCAATTCCTAAAAAACCAAGAATTGAAAAATAAAACAAAATAAAAAAGAGCAAGTTTTATTGCATTTCCTCTAGCTCCCGAGAAAGACATTATATGAACTGGATTAAAAGGGTCAGTTAAACTCATAGATCATGAGATTCTGATCGTCTTCCTTCCCGTGCTTTTTTTATGGATGAAATTCTTCGAGTCATATTTTTCTGTCAGATAGCGAGTAATTAATAACTCATCAGTAAACACTAACCGAAAGCGGATGAGAGATAATTTCTTCAATCTTTCAGGAAAACTAAACTCAGTGCCTTCGACACGAATGCTATGACGAACTAATTTCTCCGTTCTTCCAGCAAACTGAACCCAATACCTTTGACACGAATGTTACAATGAAGTCATTAAAAGCTCTTCTAATAATTCAGCCCCCAAGTCCTCAAAAACAAGAACATTATGATTTTCTTTATTCTTTTTCTTTCTACTACTTCTCTTATGCTTCACTCTCCTTGTTTTATGAGTAGCTTTTAGAACAGCAGCAGGAGACAATCCATCTTTACAAGAATACTCAATTTTTTCAAGTGATTTCTTAACTTTTTCCAATGGAAAATTAAGAAGAGACCAAGGACCTCTCATTGATAATGCAGCTTGATCATAAGCTAAAGCAGCTTCTTCAGCTGTATCAAATGTTCCTAACCAAACCCTAATTCCATTTCTTGTTGAATCTCTTATTTCTGCTGCATATTTACCCCATGGCCTTTTTCTAACTCCTATATAATGCTTTTCTTCTTCTTCTTCTTTTTCTTTTTCTTTTTCTTCTTGGGATGTTACCTCTTCTAATTCTTGACCATGGCTAGTGCTTCCTTTTGATATAATTGTATTGTCTGAGGATTCTTCAAATATTTGATGATTTTCATCTTTCTCTGAGTTATATGGTATTGGTGATTGATCATCATCAAACCATGGATTATTGAAGAAAAGATCATCATCCCATTGTAAAATTGGTGATTGATCTTGGAAAAAGAAGAAGTTGGAATGTGAAAATGAAGTGTCTATTTCTAGTGGGCTTGAGTTACTTGACATCTTTTTGTGTTTTTGGTTGTCAAGAGAGTCTCAAAGTTCTTGAATAGCTAATGTGACTTTTATATGGAGTATATAAGAGAGTATTGAGGAGAAAAAGAGTAATCCTTCTTTTTATTTTATATTTATATAGTAGTGACTGATTGAGCACGAATACTAAATCTTTCTGGTTCTCCCTTTCCTCGGACCTCGCGTATAACGGGAATTTAGTGCATCGAGCTGCCTTTTTAGTGACCGATTGAGCATGGACAATATGTTTAAAAAAGAAAGAAAGACGTGTGACACTATTAGCGGGAGCTTAATTAGTGCACCAGGCTGCCCTTTTAGTGACCGATTGAGCACGGACACGGTATATTTAAAAAAGAAAGAAAGACGTATGAAATATATTAATAATCTCTGCAAAACTTGTAGTTTTAAGTATATCATAACATTTATTTAGATATAAGAATATGTAACTAAAACTAAAATTAAAGTTTAAACTTAAAAATTACCCTTTTGTTTTTTAACAAAGTATATATAGATCATGGTTTCAAGGACTTTATATAGATGGATTAGTTAATAGATATGGATGGATATACATATGGCATTTTCCTTGTTCAAGATATTTTCACCTCTTTTTCCGAGTTGATCCAAACCCACTTATTATTGTAAATATCAAGTGACACACTATTGAACGTGGAATGTGTCTTATTCTTTCATTAAATTAAATAATGCATTAAAAAAATAAGCTTAGGGGGTGAGGTGTAGGTAGAGTGTAAACCCTAGGAGAAAGACAAGAGTACACCTTGGCCAAAGTTTGGTATCAATGTGGCCACGTGGCAATGTTTCCTTAGCCATCATTCACAAAGTCTCATATATGAAAGGTTTTTTAAGGTACATTCCTTTGGATCCAATTTTAAGAAGGGTCAAATCAATTGTCTCAAATTTTTATACGCAAGATTGTTGAATCGCCGAGATTGCAAAATATGCAACAAAACGGTGTGCAGCCTTTAGTTTTGACCAAAGAAAATTTTTAAGGGTATATGTACTAGTGGTATAAAAATATTTTGTAAATTGTTTTTGAGGTATATGTACTAGTGGTATAAAATATTTTGTAAGAAGTTTTTGAGGTATATGTACTAGTGGTATAAAATATTTTGTAAGAATTTTTTGAGGAATATGTACTAGTGTATAAGAATATTTTGTATATTTGAATTATTTAAAAGGTGATTACAAGTAAAATTTTGTGATAAGTAATAGTTTGAAATATAATATAAGCTATATATGATGATATTGTATAAAGATGTTTTATACTAGTAGTGTATTGTACGTCAGAGACAGAGCTAGAGTTTGAAACTTATGGGTTTGATATTCTTTTTCGTTTAAGTTATTGGATTCTAAATTAATAATTTATACATATTCAATAAAAATTTTAAGACAAATATAAAATTTGAACCAAAATTAATGGGTTCGACCGAACCCGTAACTTCTATACTAGCTCTGCCCCTGTTGTACGTGCTATAACATATTGATTACCATGTTTCTTACGTAATCAGATAATAATTGTCATGCGATTAATAATGAACGTACTATCGCATTGAATTACATTGATAATAAAATTTAAAAAAACTATATAAACTTCTAAAAGGTTGGAAATGTTGTTACTAAAAGGAGTCCTCCTCAATTGGCATTTACATAGAAGCTTAATTAATATCTACCGACGATACAACAACAACAACAACGACGACTCAGTAAAATCCCATAAAATGGGATTTGGGGAGGGTAGTGTGTACGTAGATCTTACCCCTACCCCGATGGGGCAGAGAGGTTGTTTCCGATAAACCCTCGGCTCAGGAAGGCAGAAATAAAACAAGAAGAGACAATTCATCAGTAACATCAGCAGAAACCATAAAAATAATATAATAGAAGCATAAAAACCATAAAATAGATGACATGCAATAACAATAACCAGTAATTAAGGCCTGGGGCTATGATAACAAGAAAGGATAATGTGGACTCAACATTAACCACTAACCGTCTAAGATCAACCCTATCAAACCCGCCTCACCCCCATGAAGTAGAAAAAGCTCGACTACCCCTTAGCCTACAATCCTTATAATGCTTGACCTCCAGACCTTCCTATCAAGGGACATGTCCTCGGAAATCTGCAGTCGTGCCATGTCCTGTCTGATCACCTCACCCCCAATACTTCTTAGGTCGCTCTCTGCCTCTTCTCGTACTCACCAAGGCCAACCGCTCACACCTCCTCATCGGAGCATCATTACCTGCTAATTAACAGGTACTCTGTCTTATTTTCAAATTTTTTTTTTTTAAAAAGGTCACTTGTAGATGTCTTTTAAAAAAATTGATAACGTATAGGGAGCACACATTTTAATAATATGGTAACGTACATGTTCAATCCACACTTAATTTAGGATTAATTAGCTGCCATATAATATTCTGCCATTCATGATACCCTTTAGTACTACAAGCTATAGAGAAATGTATCAAATACGAGGGAAAATGATATTATATAGTCGTTTTTAAAATAATAGTCGAAAAATATATATTTTTGTGTATATATATATATATATATATTCTGTATATTTTATATAAAAATTATATAAATTTTATATATTTTTTCGACTATCAAATATAAATAGTTTCTGACACTGGACTAAAAATGATAATAACTCAATTTTCAAAAAGTCAATATCTGTGAGATAAAGTAAATCTCGTGCTTAAGAACGTTATTGCTACACTACCTAATCCAAGAATTTTTTGGACGTTCTTTTTAGACTTGGACCTACTTAATTTAACTAGAAAGAGTACTTTAAGGAATAAATTTATTAAAAGAACAGTAATAAATACTAAATACTACCATGATAATTAACCAGGATTAAAAATCCATTAGAAAGTAATTTTGGATATATATAGTCAAGTGGGATCATTTTACTAGGTTTATCTCGAGGCATGATAATGCCCTTCTAGTATTATATATTTATTAAATTATGATCATTATAAATCATAATCATTTACATACAGATGAATTTGTTGGTCTAATAGATGCCCAATTGACCAAAATACGCCTACCAACTTTTTTGCGAAAGCTGTTTTTCCTTTTTATTTTATAGACTTTATTTTAAAAAATCAATATTATAATATAACAAAAATAATTGTATATATAGTTTTTTTTTTCATGAAGAGCTACTGTCAAAATTATGAATCTGACCAATTATAGTTGTGATTTACATTGTTGCTTAGACTAGAGCATTGAATGCTATCCGCCTTGATAATTCTTCTTTTTTTTTTTTAAACAAAATTGCTCTTAGCTTGACAAGGTTAATTAGTTAGACCTCTATCGGTATATTAAAAACTGAGTTTAACTTAATATTTTGACAGTCGAAAAAACATTTGTCGTAGCAGGTTGATCTCTTTTTTTTTCCCCTTCAGATTATTAGTTTCACTTATTAAAAACAATTAGTTATAATTATATTTTAGGCGATTAGCTAGTGTAAATATTGTTTTACGCTATTAGTATATAAAAGTAATAACTCTTATAAGCTATACGAACCTCCACCAATATATATCTCAATGAAGAATGAGCATACTCATTAGATTTAGGAACTGTTCTAGAGTGTAAATCCGGACTTTATATATATATATATATATATATATGTATGTATGTATTAAATTTTACTAAATAAATATAAAAAATTGATTTTGAACTTGGAAAATTGAATAAGTTATGACAAAATTTCGAACTTAAACTCATAAAGTTCAAATCTAAATGTGCCTCAGATTAGGTTATATGATAATGTTTTGTTGTATTTACATATGATCAAGAGTAATTAAGATATCTAAATCTAAAAGTTATGACGTTGCATTTTGTCAAACAAGATAAGGTTTCTAGAGATACATGCATGAGAGAGCTTGAGAAATAGTGTCAAAAGCTTCAAGTTGTTGTACGATGGATGACTATCCCCCTTTTTTCTTATTTCTTTTTATTTCCCTTGCAAATACTTTATAAATATATTGAATTATTAATTATTGCGGCTTATATTATTATTTTTTTAGTTCTTAAATAGGTGATTTTAACTTCAATTTTTTTGAATATTCTATATTCGAATTCACATAAAAATTAGTCGGGTTGATCTCATATTCTGAACTACGTCGTATAAAGTGAAACAAGCAGGTATATAAAATTTCTTTCTTTTTCTTGTTCAAAATTCAGATCTCTCTTATTTTCCTTTCCTTATGCGTGGATTGTCATGACCTCTTGAACATGTGGTTGGCCAGAAAGAAGGGGGGGAAAAAGAGCATAAATTGGGGACCAAAGGATCAAAGCATTTCCTACTCAAGTTCAATTTGCTATTTGCATTTTTTTTATAGTGCACAAAATAATACGGTTTAACTCTATGCAGAACGATATAAAAAATATTTATACAATCATATCTCTGCTGGTAGCTTAAAAAAATATAGTAAATAACTTGTTATAATTGTTAAACTATAATTTATAATGTATTCTTTACATTGTTATTAGGAATATTATTTAAGTCTTAGAAAGAAGTTATCTGAAAGATTTCATACATTTTGGTCGTCCGTCGATTCCTTTGATAACTTCACATGAAATATTTCTTTTAGTGCTTGAGATATGCATATCAAGGCGGAACTGATAATTTTAAACTTTAAAAACGTTAGCTTAAACATAAAAAAAAAAATGTTTTTTTTAATTATACATGCGAGAAGGGAGAGGGAATTACAAGATAAGAATCAAACACTAATTCAGATAATTAACCAACTGGACTACTAAAATTCTCCAAAATTCTCCAAAATTTTGGATATCACTTTTCTGAAATAGAGATATTTGTAAAGACCAGTCTAGGGTTCTATGTATTATTGCATAGCATTTCCCATTACCTTATGTCTTACATTATTATAATTAGCTATCATATATAGGAGCAAGTGGCTTAAATTATTTAGAGAGGATGAATCTATTGCAAGTTGAAGTATTGTACCATATATAGGTGCAGAAAAGGACGCAAAAAAAAGAAGAAGATAAAAATGGTCCCCAATTAAAGACCCCATTTAAAAGCATAAGTACCTCTTTAACATTAATGATGAAGACTAAGTACATTATAGATCTACAAGAAGAAATAATATATATTTATATATATGTAATATATATTATTACAAGAAGGGAACGAAATAAAACAAAGGGCAGTATAGGGCACAAAACATCTCACGTTCATGCAGGGGAAGGGTCGTACCACAAGAAATTATGTAGGTAACCTATCCTGACACAAATATGAATGAGTGTGCAAATATTAGTGGGTGATTCTATGCTCGAACCTAAGATAGAGGATTTGAGTATTTTTTTCGGTTCTTTTAGCCAGTAACAACATGTTTGAAATTGACAGAAAGTGCCATTTTGGATATAT